CAGAGAGCTCCGAAATGGCATTTCAGGGTTATACTAATACCAGAACCAGACGGAAAACCAAGACCAAGTGCTTTGATGTGTTTCTTTCGTGTTTTTTAATGCAACTACCTTATTGAATTGATATGAATACAAATGTATTTTAGCACAAGTCTATATCAAAAATAAACTTTGCATTATGATTTAAAACAAAAATCCAAAACATACCAAACATACCGATCCTGACATTACCAGTCCTGGTTTAAGTAAAATAAATATTTGGTCCCTAATTTTTCCGGCCTGGTTTTAGTATTCAAGGTCAAAACGGTCAAATGATTTTAAAAAAAATAACAGGTTGTTTTGAATTGACGTATTGTCATTACTACTAATATTTTTCCTTTAGCTTTATTTAAGATCACCTTTTAGGTTACAAGTGTGAGATTAGTACCAGGTGAACGATGCAGGCCCATTGGGTCTCTTGCTATATTATATACCAAGTTTCAATCGGAGATTCGAACCAGAGACATCCGAACCCTAGACGGGCGCTTTCTCTAAGTGAGCTACCTGTACTAGTCGCCAGGCTCTTTCGTATATTTCTTTTTCCTCTTTTTAAGTTATCGCTCCTCGAGACAACATTACTTTCAATATTGCTTACGGTATTCCTTTGCCATTATTTGAACAAAGGACAGGTCACAATGTAAATAAGAAAGCTGCAGGACAAAAGATCTCTAGACGTTTGTTCTAAACAATTAAGTGACCAGATCGCCAGTAATCAACTTCTGCTTAACGCTCAGCAAATTAGGAGTGGGACGACTGGTTCGCCCGTTGTCAGTATAATGTGACCGGGTGGGGCGTCCTGCTGGGTGTCTTCGGCAGTATGTTTCAGTGAGGTAGCACTATAAAGTCGGCATCAGTTCCGCGCTATTACAAGAAGACAAACACGAACATATCGCAGCCTCCCAAAATGCACACACGTACACTACACGCATGCACCTTGCACACAGGGGAGGCCGTCCTCAAATGACCTTAGCTGTTAATAGGACGTTAAACAAAATCAAACAAACAAACAAACAAACATTCAACCCAGTCCAGTTACGATACATAGGTATCGGTAACATGAGTACTGTACTGCACATATTGTTACGTTTTATCTAATTTTTTACGGCCACGGAACACTATCAGGTTTGTTTGTTTGGGGTTT